TATGTTGGACAAGGCATCATCATGGGTCCTGCTACGACACTACATATGCTTTTAGGTGCCATCATCGGCTGGGGCGTCCTCTCACCACTTGCAAAACACAAGGGATGGGCTCCAGGACCTGTTTCTGACTGGACAAATGGGTCCAAGGGATGGATTGTTTGGATATCGCTTGCCATCATGCTGGCAGACTCCCTCGTCAGCTTAGGATGGCTGCTTCTCCGACCACTGGTCACGTTTTCAGCAGCATACTATCCAACTGCCAAAGAAATTTTCCACTCACATACCTGGAAAGAGATTCTCACCTTCAATATCACGCCCAGACAAGGATATACACAGGTTGGTGATGGGACGGCAGAGACTCCGTTGATATCTATCAAAAAGCACTTCGATGCAGATTCCGACCCAGATGCACCCCCCGAGCATCTCGTATCGAACCGCACCACCATCATCGGACTCGTCGTATCGCTAGTCCTCTGTGTCGTCGCCGTTCATGTGACATTCCCCGGCCTGATCCCTTTCCGCCTAACCCTTCTATCACTAGTTCTAGCGCTCTTCCTTTCAATCATGGGCGTCCGCGCACTAGGCGAAACAGATCTCAACCCCGTCTCCGGTATCTCCAAGCTCACGCAACTTGTCTTCGCGCTTGTCACACCGACCACAGGACCAGGAGCTAAGAACGCAGTCATTATCAATCTCGTAGCTGGCGCAGTGTCCGAGTCTGCAGCACTACAAGCGGGAGATTTGCTACAGGATCTCAAGTGCGGGCATATACTTGGGGCGGCGCCAAACGCGCAGTTTTGGGGTCAGATGATTGGATCGGCAGTTGGGGCGGTTGTGTCGGCGGTTGTGTATAAATTGTATACGAATGTGTATACCATCCCTGGTGGGTTGTTCGAGGTACCGACAGGTTATGTGTGGGTCTTTACCGCACGACTAGTGACAGGAAAGGGTCTGCCACCCATGGTTAAGGAATGGGCGAGCGGAGCGGCTGTCATCTTTGCTGTCAGTACGGTGATCAGGGTCTGGGGTAATACTCGAAAGCGCAACGGCTTGAGTGGATGGTGGATTGACTTTGTGCCTGGCGGAATTGCTGTTGCCGTTGGTAAGTCTTTCTTTTTTTCTTTTTTTTCTTGTCATGTGTTCGGCTTTGCTAACATTATGGTTCAGGTATGTATAACACGCCTTCGTTCACGCTGGCACGCACAGTCGGGGGTCTGATAAGCCTTTGGTGGCGACGCTGGAAGGGTAGAAGCGAAACTCCGATTATCGTACTTGCGAGTGGTCTGATTTTGGGCGAGGGACTGCTCAGTATCATGAACCTCTTACTGGCCAGTTTGAACGTGCCGCATCTCTAGAGTAGCCTATGAGCAAATGAGTCCTATACTGTCTGCATACGATTTGACATGTATATTTTACAGTTTCGCCGCGTTATCCAAGTCGGATATCCACCTCCTCTGTTTCTGCAGCTTCCCAGTCTTCTTTCCAAATCTGCCCTATCGCTTTTCGATATGCAATACCATCTTCCCACTCGATCCACAGTACATCATAACACCTAAACTGCCAATCTGATGCTGGCTCGTAAATACCATCGTAGTAGTGCTCTAAATCGGCAAAACATTCTCTGGGGCAACTGTCGGTATAGATATACTGGTCACTGAGTCTTCGAGCACGGGCATGTTTCAAGCACATAGGTGCGCTAACACCAATGAAAATAAGCTCGACATCGTTTTGGGGTAGGTCGAATGAGTAGAAGGATAAGCCGAGGTCTACAGCACCGATTATTTGGCCCTCAGATCCTAGTATAAAAGCCGTATCATTGCTGAAGCCATTGCAGTCATACTCTGCTAGACTTGCGATGAGCCGGCGAGTACGAAATTCGATGACGGTTGAGTAAGTATGATTGGCCCTCGATATAAGGGTCTCTTCCCCTTCAGCTTCCTCGGACAATAGCTCTTCGCTTAGAACTGTTGACGCCAGACCGCGAGACTCATAGTAGTGCAGATCTCGTATGAGTTCTCGCTTTTCTGATTCCAAATTGGTGGGGAGTTTGTAAAATTCGGTGATGTGAGGGTATGCGAGACGGCCGGGAGAGGCACGCATTCTGATACTGCTGACTTCACCGGCAAGAGACATATCGATTGGGCCGAGCCAGCCAACCCATGACCAAGAAGGAAACTGCTTCAGGATATTGCCTTTGGAATCGATCCTTCTTTGCTGTCGTGAGCCCATATCGTGGTGCCAGCATAGCATGTTATTGAAGAAGAGTTCTGGAAGGCCGTGTAGCATCCCACCTTTCATGGCTCGACTTTGCACTGTGGTGAATGCATTGAATGCCGCTAGGACGTCTGCTGGATCAGACAGGTTTCTCCTACTGTATTGGTCTACCTGAAGACAGTAATAGTTAGGATTGGCCTTCTGTGTCCACAAAGTCAAGGGTAATCTTTCCGGCAATTGGTTCGGTGCGTGTCCATTCTCTTGCTGTCTGTATTTTTGGCATATCCATGTCACAGTCTGTTCATGGAATACAATCATACGTGACGAAAAGGTCCATTCTTGGAACGTCCAGCTTCGGGTATGGTAAACTTCGCGAGCGATTTTCCTTATCGGTGAAGCTGCAACCATGCGACAATTGGGACCAAACTCGAAGACATCGAAAGGTGATTTTCTCAGGCGTTGCTTTCCAAGTCCCCGAAGCCCATAATCACTGTCTGGCCCCTCGGTGGCTGCGATGGTGAAGTACGCATTGGAGTATATTGCGGCCATTGAATTTAGTTGATGCGGTTTTGCAATATCATCGTCCTGTACTATGCAAAATCGATCGACCCATAAGTACCGAATACCTAAAGTACGGACGAGAAGGATACTATCCTTGATGGTGTTGGGAATGCGACAATCGTTCTCAGATGATCTGAATGCATTTGTCTTGCTTAAAACATCAAAGTTCGCTTTCAATGTTTGAAAAGGATCCTTCGTGGTACCCCAAACGTAACTCAAGGCGACGTATCGATCCATGTATGCACCCTTAGGTTGCTTTACCAGACAAAATTTCTCGACGTCGATGAACAATAATCCTGTGGCTTCTGGCATCCTACCAATGGGATTCGTAATTGTGTGGCATTTCCCAGTGTGATCGCGATCACATCGGTCAATCCATTTCTTGATGCCCGCAATATCGATATTATCCTCAAGTGGAGAGAACCCAAGTTCGTTTGAAGCACTTGAATAGGCTCTCATTTCAACATGAATGAAAGGTTTTCCCCAAGAGCAATCGTCATTGCGATCCCGAAGGCGCATCATCCAGTAATCATCCCAGGATCTCACATATCCGAGCTTGCTGTGCAAACTAACATTTGGTGCCTGCTGCCTGAAACGGTTTACAACTCTTTGACACGTAGCACACCCGTAGTTTTGTTCCACTTCGGCAAACTCCCATACAAGCTCCTCATGATCTGAGGCTCTTTCCAGCGCTTTCGCGACCAAATCACACAACTCACACTGAACCATTCTCAATGATGATTTTAACCAGATTATCGTATGATGCGGAGTGGTTATCCAACGTCTGGGCAACATTCAACTGTTTCCAGTCGATGTACTTTCGGCTGGGGTGGTTGTCTCGTCGATTTACTCAGTAGAGTATTGCCAAGTGATGGGCATTAAAATATCAATGCCAACGAAATAGCATGCGCCTGGCAGAAGCATAGCCTCGACGGAGGCATGCATAGATTGCGCCGCACCCATGCAGCCCCGTGACATGACATATGCAATCCTGCGAAAAAAACACTGCATATAATTGTGGATCCTTCGATCAATCAAGTACCGACCAGGAAGCAAGGAGGGACAACATATTCCTGAGCCTTATTCTTATAAAAGTGAGCAGAATCCTAAACAGTTATCGACAGCGAAGCTCTTGACATGACGAACTTGCATGCACATCTTTGAGCACCATGTGTTGAGGATTGCTCCGCTTTTGACCATACCTGCGCTGATAGGCTGCAGGGTTTTGATTTTCGTCCGGTTCACAGCCTCGTGCAAAGTCGATCATGAGTATGCTCAGCTTCCTATGTTGACCGTATCAATACGTTATTAATCAAGATGGATTGTCAGTCTTTCTTTCTGTGTAAAAAAACCACGTTGATCACGATATATCATTTGGTTTGCAAGCTGTAATGCGCTGGATACTTTGAGAATGTGTGTCCGCTTTAGGAAGCTGTAAATCGGTATGAAATACAGTTTTGCGGAGATGGAAGTCTTAAGTGTATTGAGTAGATTGAGACAGATGTGAAGTTGTGAATTGATGTTAAACAGGAAAGTAGGTAATCCCTGCCATGTTCAGTCCAGGGTTGCCAAAGCGGCGTTAAACGGATTATTGTGCTTGCCGGCGTACCTCAGAAGCTCCATAAAAAACCGCTCCAAGCTCTATCAACGGAAGGAATGAGGAGGATATATGTATCTGTTTATGCACATCACTTACACCATCAAAATAGATCATTTGCAATCAGGTGTAAGCTGTCAGTTGGACGACTACGAGCAAGATAATCCTGTAGGGATAGCACCGTCCGCGGACTTGATGGATGTCATTTCTGGCACACAGCAGTCACACCCAAGGCTGACGCTACATGCGCCATTCACTTTTCTGTAAGGCAATTCCACTAGCTTGTGAGGGGAAGTAAGAGAATCCACCCAATCATCTTTTCTCTTGATGAGGACGTGGCATGACGACATTGCCCCGCAGGGGTTGCTGTCGGCTGCTGTTGCTCACCAAACTTTGACTCATGTTTGTGATCGCTTCCGTCCCGAATTCCTTCGACTGAACCTACACTACCCTCACATATCCAGCGGGCACATTACTAGCGTCACATCAAAATGGCAAAGAAGGGCGGTGCCGGCGCCGGCGCCGGCGAGAACTCGAAGAAGGCACAAGGGCAGGCTCGCAAGGCAGAGGCCGCGGCATCAAAACAGGCAGCAAAGAACCAGCAGGCAGAAAAGGAAGAAGCAGAAGAATGGAAGAAGGGTGCAAAGTCCAATGCGAAGGCGTAGGTGGGCTTGTATCTCTGTGCAACTGCAGACTAACACATGACAGCGAGGCCGCAGCAGAAAAGGCCGCAGAGGCAGCACGTAAGAAGGCCGAGAAGGAGGCATTGCTGCGTGAAGAAGAGGCATCACTGCCATCGAAGCCCAAAGGAAAAGCGCCAAAAGCCGAGAAGAAACCCCGCGGCATCGACGCAGCCCTGGGCTCCCTCGACGGAAAGCCATCCACCCTCAACGCCAGCGGTATCGACGACGCGCTGGATGCTCTGGATATCACAAGCAATACGCAAGAAAAGGTGGATCGACACCCCGAGAGGCGGTTTAAGACTGCGTTGGCAGCATATGAGAACAAAAGACTTGAGGATATGAAGGATGACAAGACCTTGCGGCGACAGCAAAAGATAAATCAAATCAAAAAGGAGTTCGAAACGCATCCGAGCAACCCGTACAGACAGGTTACTGGAGCATACAATATGACGAGGGAGGAGAGGGCTGCGATACAAGAAGAGGAAAAGGCCAAGAAGGAAAAGAGACTAGTAGGCGTAAACTAAGGTGGACGCGGCTGCCGGCACAGTGTGTGCAGTTGTGCAGAGCATCCATATTACGGGAGGTCTTCAGGCTCGATGTGGGGTGATGCCGTGATGAGGGAGTACTGCGGAGGCCAAGGCATAATTAGAGGAGTGTTGCCGAATGGCTGCGTGATGGAGGACCGGCCCTTGCCGCTTGGTTTAATCTCGTCAGTTGCTTTTTGCTTGTGTGATCTTCACATGCTAGGCGCTATGCATCTCCACCGCAGGAATACTGGGTTATGCGCGTGTGTCTGGGGTAGGAAGACTTGGTTGTGGTCGCCCTCGCAAGCGCTTCACATACAAACATGGCAGGCGACGAAGCTAAACTTACCAGCCATACAACAACTAATGTACAACAATAACTGTGGATACAGTAGGATCAACTGTTCCAAACAATGAAGGGCTAGGCGCAGTGAAGACGAGTGGACGCAGAGGCAAGAGGCCCCGGGTATGAAACAGGCTGGCTAGTGAGTGATTGGCTGGGGGGCCATCTGTTCCTGAGTTTCGAAACGCCCGCTTACACCACCCCTGCCGCCTGCATCCTCGCTCTCCTTGTTCTGCGTGGCTTGATACGAGTCAGCCCAATTCTCTACATAATGCCAGGCCCCTTCACCGTACTAGGTTTTACTCTTCACTCACGCAAACTGTTTGCGCAGTACACAGTCGTTACTTCGTTTCCGCCCTTTTTGTTTCCTTGTTTCTCTTCTTCCCACCTCTTTACATTCGTTTTCGAGTAAGCATGAAGTTCTTCTCAACTACTGGAGCTGTGCTCTTGGCTGCTTTTGCGGCAAGCACCGCGAACGGCATCGAGTTCGATCCTGAGGACGAAGGTGAGACAGCAGTTGAATATGGTCCGTTCATTTCTTATAGGCTAACTTGATCAGCATCAATCCTTGCCGTCACCCGACAATATGCGTACAGCTTGATGTCGCTCTACAAGGGCAATGCTACAGGCGTTCCAAAGGAAGATATCGGCATTTGGCCACAGCCCCATTACTGGTGGGAGGGTGGTGCCGCATGGGGAGGTATGATTGAATACAGCGAGATCACTGGCGACGATTCGCATGTCAAGGCGCTCCAGCAAGCATTGACTGCCAATTACGGACCCAAGAACGACTTCATCTTGGACTATCGCAGGAGCCAAACGGTATGGAAAACCATGGAACCATCTGATCGCAAAAGCTAACTGTATATTCCAGGGCAGCGATGATGAATGTTTTTGGGCAATCGCCGCCATGAGTGCACTCGAGTATCAGTTCCCGGAGCCTTCACAGGCACCTGCGGACTATCTTGAAGTTGCCACTAGCTCATTCAACAGCATTGTTGGACGTTGGAATGATACCACCTGCGGTGGAGGTCTGAAGTGGCAGATTTATCCCGAAAACACGTACGGATTCTACTACAAGAACGCAATCTCCAACGGCTGCGCCTTTGGGCTTGGTGCACGTCTTGCCCGCTACACGGGCGAGCAAAAGTATGCGGATTGGTCTGCGAAGATATATGACTGGACCGCGAGCGTCGGCCTCATCACCGACCAATTCGAAGTGTTTGATGGAACCGACGACAAGACCAACTGCTCCAAGGTGGCGGATGAGACCCAGTGGAGTTACAACAACGCCATGTTTCTTCACGGATCAGCATTCATGTACGACTTCACCAAGGGCGCCAAGATCTGGCAAGACCGCACAGCTGGTCTCCTCAAACATGCCGAGGCGCTCTTCTTTAGCCCCTATGAGAATGCCACCAACATTATGTATGAATGGGCATGTGAGACGGGCGAGTCAGGAAGGCACTGCAACCTTGACCAGCAGTCTTTCAAGGCTTATCTCGCCCGCTTTATGGCCAAGACTGCATTGTTGGCTCCCTTCACCAAAGATTCCATTAAGAAGTATCTCACAGCCTCTGCGGTCGGCGCTGCAAAGTCTTGCTCTGGAGGCCCAGATGGAAAGACTTGCGGCAGCAAGTGGTACACCGGAGGCTGGGACGGTACTTCTGGTGTTGGTCAGCAGCTGTCTGCACTTGAGGTCACTCAGGCGCTTCTGCAGATCAAGAAGAACCTGCTTCCTGCGAAGAACAACGCTGCAAACCCCCCCACGGACTCTGCGCCAGAATCTACTCCCACGCCGACTCCCACGCCGACTCCACAGCTTACTCCTGAACCTACTTCTGAACCTATTCCCGAACCCACTCCTGAATCTAACCCAGAGCAGGCACCAGCACCTGAAGCGCCATCAAGTGCGCCGCTTGCTTCGCCAAGTAAGAGTCCCCTGAGTGAAACAGTGGCAGGACAGGTACCAGAAGCGGTGCAGTCTGACAAGCCCCAGGCAATTGAGGCTCCAGCCCCAGCCTCCGACGTGCCAGCGCCCGTCATCACCCCAAGCCCCACGGCTTCTAGCGCGGCTCCCGTCGTCCCTAACAACCCTGGTCTTGAATTCGATGAGACCGAGCCTTCTTCTTCGTCATGCGTGCGCAACGTCACCAAGACGGTTACTGTTGCGGCGTCTTCTTCCTTTTCTACCTCTAGCTGCACGCCTAGCGTGACGGTGACTATTACAGTTCCATTCGTGCCGACCGCACCAGCTGCATCCGTTCCTCTCAACTTGACAACTTCGAGCGCAGTGTCGCCACCTGCGAGCAATAACACAGCCAGCCCGACGTTGCCAGTGTTCGAGGGCGCTGGGTCTGTCTACAGTGTCAGCGGTTCTGTCTTGGCAATGTTCGTGGCTGCGACTGTCTTCGTCGGGTTGTAGGTGTACATATGCATGCTGGCTGTGCCTTCTATGTTCATCTTATTCGATATTACGTATATACCCTTCTTGATTAGAGACTTTCATATCCTAAAGTCTAGTTGCCGAACCCTTCAATACAGATTCTATATCGGGTCATTCTGAGCCTATTTGTGTGATTTCTTGCTCCCGTTGGGGGTGATGGTGCAGGTGTGGAGCGAGTCTAGGCCTGTGGTTGCCCATGGGCGCGGTTAGTAGAGTGCAGGCGAACAGCCACTGCCCCACCATGAAGAAGCGGCAAGCTGCGCAGGCGAGGCAGCAATGACATAACAAATCTAGCCCGCTACCCCGGCCCATCTGCACTCCCTCCACATACCCGGTCTCAACAACGAGAATAGCGTCCCAAGGCGGCTTCGGTTGAGCTTTATCCTTCCAGCGCAACGCTCCACTAATACTCTCGCTGCTCGGCACTCGGCTATCTCCTATCTCAGGATCCGATCAGGTCCGGAGCTCAACTGTGGCCTGATGTTTGTTCCCTCGCACGCGACAATACACAAAGACACAGAGAAAGTGCTAGAAGGTAAAAAAGGCGCCTGCAACACCATGGCAATTCTCACAACTCCATGCTGACCCATGCAAAGTCTATCGCTATTCACACACTTGCGCCATCATCATTAGCGACCCCGCCCTGCAGTGAGCGCACTGCCCGACTGCCCACAAAAGTCACCCCCTCCATCGCCATCGGACCCTGAGATTACGACGTACCCGCAGCCATAGGGGGCCGTATCAACTTCGTCCTCGCCACGGCGAACATCACTACGCTTTTCTTTTTTGGCATCATACTAGTGGTCTAGACAGCCGTCATGGCGACCGAAAGGAGAGATGCAAAAGGCAAGAAGCTCGCCGTCATGAACAAGTATGTCTACGATGCCTTTTTGTGGACATTCTCGATTCTGGTCGAGCTCTTCTTCCGAGAAGTCCATCCCAGGAGTAGCTGGAAGGTGCCAAAAGAGGGCCCCGTCATTTTCGTGTGCGCCCCGCATGCAAATCAGGTACGACATTGACAGATGGCATTTTTTTGCAAAGCGGAAGTTGACAGCCAGCAGTTCGTAGACCCTCTCATGTTGATGCGAGTTGTGAAGAAGGAATCGGACCGCCGTATACAATTTCTGATCGCTGAGAAGTCCATGAAACGCAAGTTTGTCGGCGCAATGGCTAGCCTGACGGGTGTTGTGCCCGTGGGACGAGCTATGGACATGACCAAGCCAGCAAAGGGCAAAATCTATCTCCCAGATCCCATAAATGACCCCACTCTCGTTCGAGGTGTAGATACAAACTTTGAAGACAAGCTGTTCCAGGTTGGTGGTTCGCTTGTTCTTCCAAAAGTAGACAACAAGGCAGCGACTGCAGAGATTCTTGAGATCAAAGGCCCGGAAGAGATTCGGCTGAAGCGTCCCTTTAAAGGAGGTGTCGCAATGCAGCAACTGACTGGACGCAACGACATGACCAAAGACGGCACATTTGTTGGCGGAGCCGACGCGAAAAAGGGAATTGCTGATGGCTACGAAGGAACGTCGTTTCAGGTTGCGCCCAAACTCGATCAAACCGAGGTCTACGACGCTGTACATGCGGTTCTGCACCACGGTGGAAGCATTGGTATCTTTCCGGAGGGTGGTAGCCATGACCGTACCGATCTTCTGCCTCTAAAAGGTCAGCTACTCCCAAATGGAAACTCGGCAATAACTAACAATTCCCAGCTGGTGTCGCCATCATGGCTCTTGGCACAGTCGCAACCAAGCCGGACTGCAATCTGAACATTATTCCTGTTGGCATGAACTACTTTCACGCTCACAAGTTTCGTTCAAGGGCCGTTATCGAGTTTGGAACACCAATCCATGTCCCGCCAGAGCTTGCTAAGAAGTTTGATGGGCCTGGAAGACGAGAAGCAATTGGCGAGATGCTTGAGACTATTCGACAGGGTCTCATTGGCGTCACCGTTACAACACCTGACTACGATACACTCATGGTATGTGGTTCACTGAATAGTTTTTGTTCTTCACTTACACTTGTTGGCAGGTCATCCAGGCCGTCCGTCGTCTTTACAACTCAAAGGGAACGAAACTGCCATTGCCCAGGGTTGTCGAGTTGAACCGACGCCTTGTCCAAGGATATGAGCGCTACAAGGATGATCCTCGTGTCGTGGAACTCAAGAAAGAGGTCACAACATACAACAGAAAACTCAAAGCGCTTGGCCTCCGGGACCACCAAGTTCAGTATGCAAAGATGCATCCGATCAAAGCCGCAGGTCTCTTCGTCTACCGCCTTGCAAAGCTCATTTTCTTGAGTTTGCTCGTCCTTCCTGGAACGATACTCTTCAGTTTAGTTTTCATTGTTACCAAGGTTGTCTCTGTGAAGAAAGCAAAAGAGGCGCTTGCCGCTTCGAATGTCAAGGTTCAAGCCAGAGACGTCATGGCTACGTGGAAGCTCCTTGTTGCCATGGCAGCCGCACCAGCCTCTTATGCATGGTATGTATGTCTCGGGCTCTATTGGTACTCGTACAACAACTGTAACGGATACCTTCCCGCTGGTATTCCAAAGCGCTGGCTCATTCTTCCACAACTTGTTGTATACATCACAGTCACTTACGGCGCTCTCCGTTTCGGTGAAGTCGCCATGGACATTCTCAAATCTCTTGGTCCTCTCTGGAAGATGATGAACCCTTTTTCGAATAGTGAACTCGTCAGGCTCCAGGAGCGCCGCGAAAATCTTGCCAAACAGGTCAACGATCTCATCAACGAACTTGGCCCGGAGATGTATGACGACTTCCACTCGAAGCGCATCATTGAAGACCCCTTTATCCGAGGAGACAAGAACGAGCGTCCTCGTACCCCGCCAGTCAAGTCTGATGAAGACGCTCGGATAGAGGCTGGCCAGGATATCGAAACGTACGACTACCCCGCCTCACCGGGTTCCATGAATGAAATACCACGCAACGAATCGTTCCACGACCTAGCAAATCAGGACTTCTTTTCTAGTAGGCCGCAGACGCCCAAGAAAAGCCATAGTAGGAGTAATAGTAGCATGAATCTGGGCGGGTTCCAGCTCAAGCCATTTAGCACTATTGATGGAAACATTGAAGAGGTGAAGAGGAGGCTGACTGATGGTGTCAAAGTAAGGAGGGGAAAGAGACGAAGCAGTGGGGAGGGAAGTTATGATGATGGTGACGACGAAGAGCCGCTCATGATGGGCCAAAAGGGACGGTCGTTTACAAAGTAAGGTAGGAGGGAATGGTATTGCTAGTAAGAGTAATAGCGGAGGGAAAATGGGTTGGGTGTTTGTCGCGCATTCGTACAGAAGATACCACTTTTTCTTATTCTTCCTTTTTTGGGTTGAGAATATACTCTGAACTGCAATGGTCTTGATTAGAAGGTTGCTTGTAATTCGTGTGTATGTGTATACGTTTTTGGTTTTTTGCTCTACGATGCTAACGCTGTGCTATGCTCTCTACAGGGAGAAAAGAAGAAACAATAATAATAATAATAATAGTAATACTAGTACGATGCTGAATACGTGCTTTCCAAATCGTTCGCTTGTCACATTTCAATATAAAGAAAAACAACTATGCCGTAAATAAGAAACGAAACAGTGGGAAAAAAAAAGAGAAGACAAAAGATGAAGGAGAAAAGAAGCAAACCCACGGGTATCAACATATCAACCCCCACACAACCCACCTCAGCCATGACCGAAACAAATTCCCCAAAAACGTAGCCATATATCGCCGTAGCATTGAAAATTCCAATCGACGTTTTTGTTTGCTTTCCACAGCAGCTAATAAACCCCGCAGAACCAAAAGACTGAAGAGAGAAGAAGAAGAAGGGTGAGAAGAACAAAACTCACAAGAACATCACTCAACCAACAACGGCCTTTTGACTCAGTTTCTCCAGGAACCCACTGAGATCCTCCTTCTTAATCTCAATCACACACGCTTCAAAACTATCCATGCGGACTCGCGCCCCGGTCTCACTGACAACCTCCTGGAACGCATTACCAAAGCGATTTTTGCCGCCCTTGCGCTCGTCCTCTTCGTCTTCTGAATCGTTGTCAGAGGAAGAATCCGAATCCGAAGCTTCAGACTCGGTTTCGTCTTCGACTTCATCTTCTTCCAGGCCTGCAGCGAGATTCCGTGTACGTCGCGCTTCCCGGCGCATTGCGCGTTCCTGCTCTTTAATGGCTTCCTTCTCCTGCTTCGCCGCGGCGCGGGCCTCGCGTTTCTGAAGTCGCGACTTGGCTGATTGCGTGGTCCCGCCATTACCACCGAGACCTACGACGACGTAGAGGCCCCGCGAGTCGTCGAGACCCGCCATGACGAGTTCGCTTCCCTTGGATTTTCCCTTTGTGCCGTTCAGCTCGACGATAGCTTCCGCGATCCAGAGGGCGAGTTTGGTGAGGGCGCCCGGGTGAGTGAAGAGGCGGACGTCTGGACCTTCTTTTACAACGGCCATGCGGAAGGCGCGGAGGTGGCGGATTTGACGTTTTTCGATGAGGGCGGTACCAGTGCGGAGGATGGCGCGGTGGAGGTGCTGGGCTGTTGTGATGTGCTCGACGAGGAGGTCGATGTTGCCGAGGGCGTCATAGGCGGTCCAGAAACGGCTGGTGATGTGTTCTTGAGCGAGGTCTTGCTCTTCTTGTGTCGCAGTTTGCATCTCGGTGTGGTCGGTTGTACCGACGAAGTTTGAGCTGTCGAGGGCGGATTGGTTGAGGCTCTTGACGTCGCCGACTTCGAGGATGGCACCTAGGACTACGCCTGCGTCGATGGCAGAGAGACAGGCTTTCCAGCCCCAGCAGCGGACGAAGCCCCAGCCGTCTTTTGGATCGCCTGTACTTGACTTTGGGGGGACTAGGCCGTCCAGACCGTATTGTGGGGCGAACTTGAGAAGACGTTCCCGCAGGCCGCGCTTCAGTTCCATGTCCATGTGTGTGTATCTTTGTTTGCATTCGGTGAGGGAGACTCCCATTTTTGCGAGCAGTTTAGCAAGTCGCTTCTGCCCCGCATCGCTCCAGATGTGTAGTTTGGCAGAGAGATACGGGGAGTGTAGCATGCTCTCATACAGAGACCAATGCCGGAGAAGGAGGAAGCGGGGTTCTGGTGAGAGGCGGATGGCTGTGTCCGTTGCTGAGCGAGCACTTGTTGGAATGACACCCCAGACCTCGCCCATTGTTGCGTCGCGGGATACGCTTGTCGCATCCGTGACGGGGTTCAGCCGCCGCACTTCGTCTCGCAGTACAGAGCGTATGCTCTCTCCTCGGTTACCATTCCAGCCTGCTGAGCCACCTTGTGCTGAGAGCGGATTGAGCCCGACACCACTTCCTGTTCGCCCGTACAACTCCAGACTGCTGACACCTACAATGGCGTTCCATAGCAGGTCGTTGTCTTCGCGGCCAAGCTCTGAGGCTAGGTTGTATACCAGGGATGAGACAGGATCCGAGTATGATGTGCCAATTTCGTAGTATTTGTCAAGGACCTGTGCATACTTGTCTCGCTTTTTGATAAGTTGCCTTCGTAGGCTTTTGACAGACTGCTCTTTTGGTGCAGCTACTGAGGGGGACACAGAGCGGCTGCGGGAGTCTGAGCGTGAAAAGTCGGAGGATCCGCCTAATTGATTTGCTGCCAGTAGACCCCGCCGCCGTCGCGGTTCAGGTGAGGATGGTATTGAGCCGCCCTAGAAGTTATTAGTTCATGTTCCACTTTATGTAAAGGTTGTACGAACAGAATTGCTCCTCCGTCTTTGTGCTGGCCGCTCGTCGTCTGTCATATCGTCTTCAGAATCATCCCCCTCACCCCAGGATTTTCTTTTCTTTGGTGCCTGCCCTGACGGTGGCTCTTCATCTTCTGGTTCTGAATCGCTCAGGTCGTCTTCCTCCCCCACTTCTGGCATCTCTTCGAGCCCCAAATATGCTTCCCGCTCTGCTTGCATTTCTTGCTCGATATCACCATCGTCAAAGACTATAATCCCACCTCTTGACGACTGGTAGGACTGCAGGACTTTGCCCTTGTCTACACCAGCCTGTCTCCGCACCAATTCTCCCGTGGCGGGGTCTTGGCTGATAGGTGCCGCGAAAACGTTGGTCAGATTCCATGGTCGTCGTGCATCCAAGAGCCATACTTCAACATCGCCAGTTCCACCTTCTCCATTCTCGTCCACATCCAGGCCTAGCATCTCTTCCATGTCTACCATGCCTCCCACACCCAAACACACCACAACTCCCCCGCTACCGCCTTCGGTTGTCCGCATTGGCCGTACCAGCTCATCTGCTGCCCGTGAAAGGTCGCCATAACCGGCTATTGGCTGTATCTTGTGGGGTATATAGTCGCGCTTGAGTAACGCGGTAAGAATTCGACAGGCACATAGCGCGTCTGGTTCAAGTGCGACAAGGAGCAGGACTGGCGGTGCGGCGGCATGTGTTCTTTTTACGAGGTTCTGATAGAGGTGTGCTATCAGATTCCGTGGGAGGTACATGGCGGAGGTGGGTGTGTATGTCTAGCCAGCGTGGAGGCGTAGAGTAAGCGCGCACAAAGACGCGCCCGGTGAGTTGTGAGGAATGCTATGGGCGTGAAATGAGGTTTTCCGAGTGTCAATACCCAGCATTGGGTAGGTAAACAATAAAAGGTACGAATGGCATATAACAGAGCCGGTGGTGGTCGTATGTATCGAGGATGCGGCCGACGCGTTCGGCACGCTAGTCCCGGAAATGTCCTCGCGTCGACGCGCCTGTGACGTGAACAACACTTTACCCCCCTCTCCAATTTCGATCCCCGCCCAAGCTCAATGACATATAACAAAGACGGCACATACGCACATCGGGTTTCATACGTCTCATCATCCATTTTTGCGTTTTCCTATGAGCTCATGTCTTGTTACGCTCTCTCCTATTCTGGGGGCTGACTTCATGGAAGCAGCCACATTAAGTGGGGAAGTTCGTGTTGAACGCCAGTTCTCTCAATACTACCGATGGGTAGCATATATCATGTCATCCGCTTTTCCGTCAAAGTACAATGGTGTGTTGAACACCGAAAGAAATCCGCAAACTCCAAGCCCATTTTCCTCCCTTTCATCCCACTGTGCCACCATCAATCGAGTCATGTTCCCTCATCTTCTCACTTCAATGCTCAATCTCCATGTCGACGCCGGTTCCAGTATCTCATCCAGTCTCGAATTCACCACTAAGCATATCCCCTCTCCTGCTTGATTTTGACACAACTACGAAGACTTCTTCGCTGGGCCTGCACCGGTTCAAGCTGCACCAGAGATGGCACAATCTCGTGGCATTTCTCGAAATTCTGCCCGCGGGCATCGCCCCATCGAGTGAGTCCAGGGTTGACAATGAATGCAACAACACCTCCATCGATGTCTTGACCATTGCGATCGGGAATCGGAGACATATGGTCTGCTTCAAAATCGTCTCCAACTTCTGGCCAAGTAAATTGGATGCGGGAAGGCTGAATGGATATGTCCAGAGCCAATGCAAATGCCCGGTCAACAATGTCCGAAATATGCGAAAGCTCGCAATTTGGTTCAATTATTGTGAGATGCGCACTGATAGTATTGGCGACTCGTTCTCGTGTCTTGAGCACCGAAGTTTGCATCTTCTGAGCATGTTTGTCATGTCGATGACGACCCCCACGGATTTGCCCTGAAGTTACGGTTTCACGCCCAATCCGTCCAACCAATTCCTCCGTTGTGGTGCGTCGCCAGTTCTCAGATTTTGGGGTAGGCTCTGGCCAGTCGTTCTCAACACTCTCACCGAAGGTAAGCTTCCAGTTATCATAGAGAGCTCTGGAGCTTCCCCAGAAACTGAAAGGGTGTTCGAAAACCATCATGATAAGGAAAGACCATATCCATGCCTCAATATAATCCTTCTTGCGTGCGCGGGTATCCCAGTGGTGCTTTGCAACATGATTCAGGAGCAGTATGGGATCCAAAACCTCCACAACATCTACGTCTTGTGCTGACTGAACTGAGAGGCTGAGTGATTTTACAAGGGAAGCAAGAATGTGGAAGTCCGAGCAAATGTCTCATCAGAAATGACTTCGACTTTGGATAGTTGGGCAAGCATCTCTTTCTGTAACGCTTGCATTTGAGTTCGCAGGCTCTGCGCTTCATCTTGAGAGATGGCAAGATCCTGGAGTGATTCTCGAAGCTTGGCGTTTGAGACGGCTTGTCGTTTCCCCAGTGACTGGCACTGTGCGTGTGAAGCAGCGAGCTCCTTTCTCAGGGCTTGAATCTGTGCTTCGAGATTTTCCGAAGCAGTTCGCGGATGATTGGATGCTCTCAATTTGTGGTGGATATTACTCAGCATTGTATGTACAGATTCCATTGTAAGATTGCCGTAATAGAGACTATGATCTTTGGCGTACGAGATGATTCTCTGCAAAATATCGTGTTCGTGCATTTTATCGCAGCAGCTCTCTTCCATAGCTAAATTACGGGAGGCTGTGGTGAGTTCATCGATACGCACTTTCAGATCTTCATTTTCATTGCGTAGCTTGTCGACGAGGCGGCATAATCTCTTGGTTCGGTTTTCCCGCTTTCGAGGGGTGCTCCTAGTGTTTCCAGGCCGTCCTGTGTTTCCATCGCTATCTTCGACAAGCTGCGCAAAATCTCTATTGCCGTGCGGGGTATTGAAAGGACTCTCCATGTAGCTTTGACTGTTGGTGTTGCTATGGGGCTTAGTTGGCGTGACTGGATACTTTGTCTCTTCCATAACATCAGGTGGGCACTGAGCTAAAAGTGAGTAATCGGTTCAAAAAGCGATGAATGAACTTACAGGAGGTGTCCAATGTTTCTGGCCGGCGTCTTTCGTATCCATAATGACTTGCCAAGGCAAGCAACTTTTTCGTCTGTTAATGAGATAAGAAAACCTTGTAGTCAAAGGCTCTTGTGGTGAGACAAGTTGTCGGTTGGGGTTTGTAACCTAAACGCAGTCGCTGTGATACGGCGCTACTTTCACTTTCACTTTCACCTTCACTTCGACTACTGGTCGTCTTAGTAATCACCCGCCTTTGTTGTCTGCACAAACAATCCGCTCACTCACCCGGTTTTACTCCTGATTGCCCACAATTCGGAACTGCAACACCGGCTCCGACTTCAGATCTCCGACTTCAGGAACCAAGAAAACATGGGAAGCAGTCGACTGATCATCGGGCTCGATTACGGCACTACTTATACAGGTAAGTGGCGTGGTCTAGATCGCAAAACGTTCTGCTAAATTTTTAGGTGTGTCGTTTTGCGAGATATCCGATCCCGCATCCGAACAATCACACGTCGAAATCGTACAAGATTGGCCTTCATGTCATGGCAAGTTCGGTACAAGAGAGAAAGTACCTAGCGAAATTGCCTATCTGCAAGAAGGTGTTAGATGGGGTTCTGATATCCCGCCACATGAGAAGCGGCACATGTGGACTAAACTTGAATTAGACAACCGCGAAGATAGTGAGGTTGCCAAGATCAACAATGAGCTATCTCTCCTCGAGTCACGTAAACCGCCCATGAAGATCATCGCCGACTTCCTGGAACAAGTCAAAACTCATTTGATCAAGAACCTTGACGACAGGTATGGCAAAGAACTGTGGAGAACGCTTCCTATCACTTTGGTGGTCACGGTCCCAGCGGTGTGGTCAGATACCGCAAAACACCGGACTAAGCAGGCTGTTGAAAAAGCCGTTCAGCTCTCTAGCGTTCAAAGAGTTGAAGATGCCTATTGTCCTTACCACGGAACCAGAAGCTGCCGCGCTGTACACAATCAAGACGCTCCGCGGTACAGCACAGGACGCTCAGTTCGCAGTGGGCGACGGCTTCACTGTTTGTGACATGGGAGGCGGGACTGTCGACCTTATCACATATCGCATTACGGCTATTCAGCCTACTGTCATCGAAGAAGCCTCGGTGGGTAATGGTGCCCAGTGTGGTGGTAGTTTCGTTGATCGTGCATTTCTTCACTGGCTTGAGCGTCGTTTAGGTACACAAGACTTTGTTAAAATCGCTGGCTCTCGAAGCGAAGAAATCCCACGTACCTCGCTCAACGAAAAGACGGCCCAACTTGTTCAGGATTTTACTATGGGGATCAAATGCGGCTTCTCAGGAACCCAAGAGAATTACTTACGACTGCCATACCCACTGAGTACTATCGATGGTGATGAGAAGAGAGGTAATGTTTTTGGAAACCTAAAAATCACAGCGTGAGTTCCGAAGCTCAAAACCTGATGAATGATTATTGACACAATCAGGGACGATGTAAAAGCCATGTTTGACTCATGCCTCTGTCGAACGTATGAGCTACTTCAGGAGCAAACTCAACGTGCACGCATAGGAAATTTGAAGATTAAGGTATATTGTTTATCGCAATACCGATACGTGTATTCCAGTGCTTTTACAGTCATGTGCTCCCAGCGGGTATCTGCTAACTTCTTCAGTATGTGTTCATGGTTGGTGGTTTCTCAGAGTCACCATATATGTTTTCAAAGATCAAAGACTTCCTGGAGAAGCAAGAGATACAAGCTATTCGACCCCCTTACGCGTTAGTATCCCCGACACCCTGATGAAGATTATACTAATTCACTGTAGTTGGTCAGCGGTAGTCCGAGGTGCCGTCACCAAAGGACTTGAGAAAGGTGTCGGTGCAGTCTTGAAGCGAAAGAGCCGTCGACATTATGGTACATCTTGTGCCCGTCTTTTCCAAAAACGTGCACACAAAAGGGTCGACATGTTCACAGACTGGCATTCTGGAAAAAGATGGCAAATAATCAAATGAAATGGTTAATCGAGAAAGGACAGACCCTTCTTGCGTCAGAGGCAACCCATGCAGCTACAGGATTCATGTTGAGGTGGTGGGTTGAAGAAGAGAAGCAGATTGTGTGGAAACTCCTCTCGTGCGATGCAGACATTGCTCCATCACGATCTGTAGACAAGGTAAGCAAGCCGCTTCGGGGAAGCAACACAGCTAACATAGATCAGTCAGTATACCGTGTAGCAGTGCTCACAGTCGATTCTAACGACATACCCCTGGTATACCTGAAACGGAACACGAGCCCATGTGGTCGACAGTACTACTCTATCAATGTTACCGTGCACATATCTCTGCAGTCTTCTCTGAATTTCTACGTCACAATCAAGGGCAAGAAATTCGGATCCCTGACTGTCAGCTACGATTGAGGCTCAGTGACCTGCCTTCCGTCGAAACACAATCCTTGGCTTTCTAGTGGAAAGAAGATGGTCCAGAAGACGTCACTACACATCAGTCCCTTCTCTCAGAACAGAGGACTGCTATTGATTTGGGGCTATAAATGGGAGATGGAGAGTATCAAATTGACTATCTGGATGTCAATGCACTGCATGTGGGAAACATGTCATGTAACTTGGGTCATTTGCCCTAGGTCACTTTTGTACCGAGAGCAGTGTCCGGCTGGCAGATTTTCTGACTTTGTTCACATGTAGCTAGTTAGCTGGTCATGACTCGGCTCTCATTGAGTTCCCCAATGCCATAATATTGTCTTTTCATTACCCATTGCAATGCTGCCCTTGATTCCAAGACCTACCATGACTTATCTCTTGAGAGTTGCAGTTGCTAATCAAACGAGAAATCGAATTTTGCTAGACGAATACTTAATCTACATTTCCTGATGAGGCGGGATTAAGTGACAGAAGAACTCCAATGCACTCACTGAGACAACGCATTTTATCGACACGACTTTGCACTATTTCCACTTGAGAAACAATATGAAACATGATGAGATTGTAAGTATTCAATCATCGCAATCAAGAAAGATGTACGATTCTTGTGAGTGCGCAAATGTAATTTGTAGTATTTCCCAGCGCGGTGTCAATGTTTCGATAGCATATGCAGACCCCAATTCAGGGAGATAAGAAAATGTAGATATGCATGCCACGCGGTTGTGGTAGAATCAATGCAAGGGAAGAAAGGAATGACTCTCTTCTATCCGCAGTGTTCCTCGGAACGCATTACCAGTAATATCATTCATCACACTATGTTCCCTCAAGATGCCATCAGCTCAGTACCATCTCCCGAAAGAAAGGTTCCCTGATGAATTTCTAACTGAACTCTTCTAACAAGTTCTCCAATACCCCTTCCAGCTAACCTGTTCTTCCAAAACAAGTAACAACAATACTGCGCTTTTCGCGCCCTACCCTCGCACGACATGTCGTCACACAAGTACACCACATGAGACAGCCGACAAACGCTCTTCTCTAGCGAAATATATCGTGTAACCAAGAATCGCCCCAAACGTCATTCGCTCACACGCATGCGTGCATACCGAAAGCCCAGCCCACCATGGCACCAAGCATCCGCGCCAAAATCAAAAACAAAGACCCGGACAGCCTAAACATGTACCCGCATATGAACCACCGTCATGCACAAACTCACCACTCCTTGTTCCCTCGCCCAGTCTAGCCCCAAGTGGGGTGCCGACATACCGAACGACGCCACGGGACATTCCGCCTCACGCAACCAAGCGGACAACTGCAAGTCTAAACACGGTACAGCAAAGGCATGTGCACAGCAAAATATTCCCGATGCCCCCCCGAAGCCCCAGATCACCATGGTAAATTAACCTGCCTTCCACACCCACAAAGATCGTAGAGGGAGGGAGGGAACCAACAAAAAAGCCCCCTCTCCCCCATCTCCGTCCAACAAAGCACGTGCAAACCCAAACACACAACCTCAAACGGTAAATGGGAGAAACGGTCAATCGTGATTCGAGAAAGGGCAAGCAAAACACACATAAACAAGGCCAAACCCCCCAAAAAAACAAAAACAAAGTCATCCAAAATCATCCTTCGCATTCGCCCTATCCGGCGTAAATCCAATACCTATAATAATCGTTGAGCCCGTTGAGACACACACACACATACCTCAAACACCACACAGACTCCCCCTTTGGCAAGGAAAAAAAAACGTTAGAACCCCACAGCGCCACCTGCGCGCACCTTCGGTAAAGGCAAAAAATCCCACGCTAAACCACATACGATGTAACTTCACCCCCGCTAACTCTGCTTTGGGGATAAAGCGCAGAGACTAGATCTGAAGGAGAGATAAAGAACGGATTACGTTTTGCGTTTTAGCGTTTTGCATGGGTGTGGGGGGGGGGGAAGGGCAGAGGTGTGGAGTGGGGTTTTTTTGGCGATAAGATAGCGGGTGTTGCGCCGAGGTGTCTGTGGTTGGAGGAGAGGTTGGAGGGGTAAAAGGTGGGTTTTTGCGGGGTTGATGATGGTTGACATAAGGCGTGAGATACGGGATAGTAGGAATCCATAGATAGGATGACTGGACCTTTGCGGGTCGTAAGTAATCAAGGAATATTGAAACTCCCGACGTTGCTCAGATTTGTGAAGAGGCGAAAGATACGACATCTTTTTTTGCTTTCTTGACATCCTTGACTCTTTTGCTTTTTTTAAAACATCATCTCGCTGCGTGTGTGCACGCGTTTTTTTCCGTTCCTGCGTCGGTAAAGGAAAAGGGAAAGAGCACCGCCCCTCCTCTTCCTCCAAAAACAAGTTGACCGATTACGGAGCTAAAGCTAAGCTTCTTTTTGGCGTAGGTAAGTTCAGAAAGTAACTAGAGGGGGGGTGCTAACCGCTCTGCCTAACGAACTGTGTTTCTTTTTTGCTTTGCAAACTGATACGATAATCAAGGAAAAACGTTCTTGAATGCGGATCTTCTTGTTTTTTTCTTCGTTCATTGTTTGAACTTTACATTACGAACCGAACGCGAAGAATTCGATAGATCTACCGTACCCGATGATTGAAGCGGCGTCGTTGCTTGCTCCGGCGGTGTTGCTCCCGACTCTCATCGTTATCCACGTGCTCGTGGGCTACCTTCGCAATCCGCTGCGCAAGATACCTGCTGCGCATCCCACGGCGCACGTGTCGTCGCTGTGGATAGCATGGGTGCGCTGGCGACACATTGAGAATGCGACGCTGAAAGAGGCGCATGCGAGACTGGGTCCGATTGTGTGTCTGGGGCCCGAAGAAATCAGTATCAATTGCGTCAAGGGTGGCATCCGCGATGTCTACGGCGGGGGATTCGAAAAAGTCAATGCGAAAAACGGGTATAATTGGTATTCGTTTTTTACAAACTATAGCGGGTGAGCAATGAACTACCCTGTTTGAGACTTGAAAAAAAAAACAATCGCAATATGGTTTTTTTAGCGGGCATTGACGCGTGAATTGGCAGAACCGGCAACATGTTTTCCACGGGCAGTAATAGGCTGCATTCGCAGAGAAAGCGTATGCTGAGCAACATTTACAGTAAGTCACATGTTCTCGCTAGTGAATCGCTGCTTGTACAGGCATCGACAATCATGTACAAGCGCTTCCTGCCGTATCTAGAGTCCGTATACGCAGGACCCGAACAGGGAGTATTGAACATCTACGCACTGCTCAGTGCAACAACCATGGATATTGTGACGTCCTACATCTTCGGACTGCGAGCAGGGTCGAACCTAATCCAGGACCCCCAGCAACTCGCCTGGTTCTTGGACCTCTACTACTCACGGCGATCTTTCAACTTTTGGCCGCAAGAGTTCCCGCGCCTGACTAGCCTGGCGGAGAAATGGCTGGGCTACCGCTTCTCACCCAAATGGGTCGACGAGGCAAACAGCAAGATCGAGAGATGGGTGACCAAAATGTGCGATGAGGCCACGCGTGTGCTGGATGCTGGCGTCGCCGCCGCAGGGGTCGAGGACCGGCCTGTAGTCTATCAGCAGCTGCAGAACAGCATGGCAAAGGAAGCAAGTAAGAGTTCGGGTGGCCTGCCGGATCCTACCGCCATGGCAAGTGAAGTCCTGGATCATCTGGCCGCGGGCTTCGACACCTCTGGTATAACGCTCGACTACGTCGTCCACGAGCTATCCAAGCACCCAGATATCCAGACCCGTCTCCAGGACGAGCTCCTCGGCCTATCTCCCCGCCTGGCAGCATCCTCAGCACCTAATCTTCCCGACCCGAAAGCCGTCGATGCCCTTCCTTTGCTACATTCCGTCATCTGGGAAACCCTGCGTCTTCACTCTGCGATTCCCGGCCCACAACCGCGTTTCACGCCCCCGCAAGGCTGCCGGCTTGGCCCAACAGACGAGAAATCGTACCATGTTCCGGGCGGAGTCAGGGTGAGCGCCAGCGCCGGCCTGCTGCATCTGAACGACGACGTGTACGAGTGTGCAAGTGAATGGCGGCCAGATCGCTGGTTGGGACTCGACAAAGTGGCCGACGACAAGCGGAGGGACATGGAGAGCCGATGGTTTTGGGCATTTGGGAGGTTAGTATAATCCTTTTTTTTTCTTGTTGCTTGACGTAATTCGAGCTGGCGTACGCTTACACTGTGTGTACTAGTGGTGGTCGAATGTGTGTGGGAAGCCACTTGGCAGTGTACCGTAAGTGTCTACTAGTCCCATGTCCCCCCCTTCCCTTCTTCACAGCCACACAAGGAGGGGGGAAGGAGGGAGAAAGTGACTTTGAATTCCTACTAGTTTCGTAAGCTGAGTAGGTGACCCAATATGCTGACGTGGACATAGAAATGAAGTACATAGTCGCGGCCCTGTACTCAAACTACCGCACCACGATTATAGATGACACGGGCATCGAGCAGTCCGACTCATACACTGCACCGCCCCAGAGCGAGAAGCTTATGATACGACTCGAGAAACTGACGTAGCCACACGGGGAACACGGGGGCAGTGAACATGTTTGGACCCTGATAGCCTCCGCCCACCGTCAATGGGGGGATCCCACAAGCAAGTGTGGCTGCACAGCCGCACGTGCAGTAAAGAAAAATGGTTGATCAGCGGCAAGCTACGCAAAGCACAGGGAGAGAGTGAGTAGAGTAGGGTGTGTGTGTGGCTTACACACCCGCGGCGGACTCCGGGTCTTGGAGCTTCAACGCCGGGCCCAAATCGACGCCGTTGGAAGCCTGACCCGTGGTAGAGAGGTATCGAGTTGGGGTTGGCAGTGGCCAATAGCATTCCCGAGTCTTTGCTGGTGCTTGGGGCAAAGGGCAAGATGACGACAGCTAGCCATTCGAGTCATTTTTACGCAGCTGTACAGAAGCAACTGAGACTGTCTATCGTATTTGCCTCCTTTTTCTGAACAGTCTCATGATCGTGACTCGCCATGAGCTTATGCAATGCAGTCTACTTATCAGC